TTGAAGGACACAGGAGAAAGAGCGTTTATCTACCCCAAGGCAAGGGGTAGATAAACGGGGCTTGAGCCCAGACCAAGGCAATAACTTGAGAAAATTCAGGCTTGCAAGATTCTGTTGCCATAGCTGTTATAATCAAAGTAGTTCTGACACCTATCTACAGGTAGTCCTCGATTTACAACCATTCATTTAGTGACCGTTCAAAGTTGCAATGGTGCTGAAAAAAGTGACTTGTGACTCCTTTTTCACACTTATGACTGTTGCAGCACTCATTCGGATATTGGCAACTGGTTCATATTTATGTGAGTTGCAATATCCTAAGATCACGGGATGACTTTTTGCGACCTTCTGACAAGGGCAAGCCAGATTCACTTAACAACCATGTTACTAATTTTACAACTGCAGTGATTCACTGAACAATTGTGGCAAGAAAGGTCATAAAGTGAGGCAAAACCCACTTATCAATTATCTCACTTAGCAGCAGAGGTTTTGGGCTCAATTATGGTCACAAGTCAAAGACTACTTTTGTCTGTCTGTCTGGTTATCTACCTACCTATCTTAAATGTTGCCCATCTTGACAAAGGAGACTTTAGGAGGCTTATATGGACATTGAATATAATAAAGAATAAAACAAGATCTTAAACTTTAAAACTATTTTTTTTAAAAACTAAGCAGAATGGAAAAAGAGGGAGTAAATAGTGCACAGAGAAGAGGAGATGAGGAATTCTCTACTCAATTAGCCACCTCCAATGTACCACACCCCCATTGGGGTCCCAAGTTAGTTGGCCCAGCCATGTTTTCAAGGCCTTTCAGAAAGCCAGAAGGATGGGAGCAGATCTGACCTCAACGGGCAAAATGTTTCAGAGGAAGCCATGGCAGAAAAAACTCTTCTTCTGGACAGCCAAAATTCCTTGGGTGATGGTTACCATAGCATGTCCCTTGTGTTGATATGAGTGGATGGGCTAATCCCATCGGGTGAGCTGGTTTCTTGGAAAGCCTATGCTGTTGGTTTCCTAATCTGCCCTATTTTGTTGGGCTGACATCAATTTTCCTTCTGTTCTTTTAGGGCTATTCTCTATTGTCTCAAACCATATTATTCTGTAATTTCTGCCACCGCCCCCCTTCCCCAGTCCCACTTCCATGTAACTACCTTTTGCATGGTCTTTATCCAGTTGATTGGCCACTTTCTTCCATTCTTCCATCTGCTCTTGAAGTGGGTTTATCAGACAGTCAATTAAAGCACTAATTTTGTTGAGAAAACACAAAGAGGAATCAAATCCTGCAGGAAAAGAACCAATCTGAATCTCCCTCTAAGCCGCTTTTCCCACACATGAACCAAAGTCCAGAACTTAGAAAGAATCTTAAGTTCGATTCAATGACAAGCACACATAAATCAGGGTTAGCAATCCTGTAAGAAAGGATTCATATATTGCCTTAAGGCTGCCTTTAGAGTAAATGACAGGCTGTTTGAGATTGAGAGGCTGGGGAATTCTGGGAGTTGAAGTCCAGACGTCTTAAAGTTGCCCCGGGTGAGAAATACTGGTCTAGCCCAAGGCCACTCAATGCAAGAGTGGCGAGAAAGGCCCACACTTAACCTTTCAGTGGTGGGTTTGCAAACAGGAATGCTCAGGACAAAGACATTACCGGGATGAATCACATGCTAAATCTGATTTAATTACATAGGCATGTAATCTAAGTTCAATTACTTACAGTTAATTTGATGATTTGCCATTATCTGATAATTTTCCCCATCTGCTATGTTAAGAAAAATGACAGTTTTGTGGCATCCCTGCAAGAAGGCTACAAGCCAAATCTGAAACTCTAGGGAGGCTCAATCTGTGCATCCTGGCTTTTTGGGTACGAAGCACAATTGAGATTTGCAGCAATACTTCCCTAATTTCTGTCTCAATCTCTGAATCATTACGCAAGAACAACTCCCCAATTTATTCAAGAGTTACCAGAAATAGGCCCGCCCGGGTGGGGTGGGGGGGAGAGGAGACAGACTGTTTTTGCAACACTAATCAATGTTCTCAAAAAATGGAAATCACGCGTTTTGCCATTCTTCACCCACTGCTGAGTTACAGCGATGTCTGAAACAGGAATTCCTACTTTGAAAATACAGAGCCAGCAAGCCTGACTTCTCACGAGGGACCGTTCAATGTTCCCCTTTGCAAAGTCCAATTTGTACAGTGAGAGAAAAATGAAAGGGTGTTCCCAGCCAAAAAAAAGGGGGGGAGGTTAGATGGAAATCAGCCCCAGTAAACATCTTAATATGGTCCTGAATGAAAAAGACTGAGTACCAATTAAATTCTGAACGCCATCCAGAATCTAATGAAACTCTATTTCCAGACTGTCAGCTCGCAACATGCATAACTCACCTTGAAAACTGCCTGAGCTTGGACTCAATGCTTCGATGTCGCATGCACATTCTGGTTAAAGCAGAGCCAATTTCTCTGGTAGCACCTGAAAAAGAACCAAAAATAGAAATGGCCTTAAGCATATCAAAAACTGCATCACACGTTCAATCTGGCAAAGAAAATAATAATTTAAAACACTGATCTGACTGAGGGTATGAAGCATTGGAGTTCAAGAACCTGACCAAACCTTATTGGGGGTGGGGGGGAAACCCTACAGAAATCCATTAGCATTGTTATACAAATTCTTGCATCCTGCTGAGACTGATAACTGGATAACACAGAATCAGCCTAAAAGGAGGTGCATTTTGATGTATGTGGAATTGGAAATAAAATATGAAACTTATGAGAGCCAATTTGGTGTAGTGGATAAAGATCAGGCTAGAAATTNCACAGCTCCAGTGGTTCATTTAATAACCAAAAAAAAAAGGCAATAAAATCCGATGCAACTCACTCTTAACTTTGCTTAGACACAGAAACTGTATTCCCAATTGTGGTTGTAGGTCGAGGGCTATCAGTATATATTGTCTGTTCAAACAAGATTTTAGAGCAGTGTTTTTCAAACTTGAAAACTTTTAAGACACGTGGACTTCAATTCCCAGAATTCCCCAGCCAGCAAGTCTGCTTGGAGAATTCTGGGAGTCGAAGTCCGCTCATCAAAGTTGTCATGTTTGAAAAACACTGTTCTAGGATTAATCCTACATCAGGACCCAAACAATATTGGTTTTTATTTAAAGTTTTAGCCTTAGTTTTGGACTTCACAAAATTCAACAGGCCAGTCATTTATTCATACTTTGTTATCTTTTTAATTTCAAGCCAAAGCAAAAGGCAAGAGTTAACGTTCTACTAATAAACCTTTACAGCTATAACTTATAACTTTAAAAGTTGAAGATATAACTGAAACACTTTGATAGCCGCTACAGTGGCTATTCAGTCCCGTTATTCTTTCAAAATGTACATTATCCCAAATGTAAGCTAAAACCAAATCTAATGAATGGAGGATCCCTTTTTTTTTTAATGTGAGGCTTTAAAGTTTAGGTTCAGAAAAGGGAACTTGGGTTGCAAAGGCAAAACCGTTGGCATATTTAATTTGCACTAAACAGCTGACCTTGTGACTCTCAAGGGAGCTACAAAGGGGCAGAGCAGATGAGCAGATGAGTCCTTAAAAGCAAGATCAGCAGGAAATTCTAATACGGTATACCAGAAGGCCACAATGACAAAATAATTATGTCCTGTTGCAATACTGATATATTCATTCGGTCACCTAAGGTCAAGCTTGCCCCGTGTCCCCCCCCCCATTTTTTTTACCTCTTACTTAGGCCTCAGCCTAAAGGAGGCTTATCTGGAAAATCTGCAAGAGAATTCAGCTCCAAAAAGTCCTGCCCCACCGTCAGAAGGCTGGGTCAGGTACTCCTCGACTTAACAACAATTCATTTGTTCAAAGTTTCAACGGCACAGAAAAAAGTGACTTATGACCATTTTTCACACACACCGTTGCAGCCTCTCCATGGTCATGTGATCAAATAATTTTGGTTGTGAAAAGATTGCAACAGGTGCCCACGTGATTCCAGGACACTGCAACAGTCGTAAGTATGAACCAGTTGCCAAGCATCTGAATTTTGATCACATGATCATGGGGATGATATAAAGGTTGTGCGAAAAATGGTAGTTGTAACTTTCAACGGTCACTAAATGAACTGTTGTAAGTTCAAGGACTGCCTG